GGATATGTGCAGAGGATTTCACCTCTGACACTAGGACACTGAAGTGTCACACAGCAGCAGAGATGGCCCCGGACAAAAATACTTCAGTTGCCAATCCCTACCGCCTCTATTAATGGATCATTCTGAGTTCCCCACACGTCTGCCAGCCAAAGAGTCGTGATGGGCAGGCGGCAGGCAGACGGCATGTTAAAATCAAGTCTTAGATTAGCTCCTAACAGGCCAGCCCTGCATTGCAGGGACCTATTCATTTGTAGTGGGTCACGGAGGAATGCGTTAAAAACCCCAGATCTCTTTACAAATAGCAGAATGCAGGCACCAAGCTCTTTGACTGCTCACTATTTCTTCCACTGACCTTATACATATTAACTTAAACTGCACTAAACATGAAAAGTTTTGACAGACAGAAGGAACTTGACCTTAAGCCTAAAGGCAGAGCATCAATATTGCATCCGACATCACTCTTGTGGTTTGAAGCTCAAAGTGCGACAGTGTACTATGATGATGTGCTATTAGACCAGCAGGTCAATATGCACTGATCTTCCTGCAGTGCAGAACATTGTTCTTAATACATTGGCAAGATGTTCACTTGGACTTCCTGACTTTAGCATCTAACCCGAATGCCAACTGCCCATTGGACAATACATTGCATCAGACATGAACTCCAGTTCAATAGCCTGTGATTTGGTAGGTTCCACCTGTTCATGTTCAGTCCACAAATTCTCAAAGCCTTCATTCTGAGAAACAGGAGCTAAATAAAAACACTGATGCAGTAGAGCTGCTTCTACTCGAGGTATAAAATGAAATATTTTTCTTCAGGTTGTATGAGCACAGAGGAGACATTACACCAGGGCTTTGTGAATTCTATATTGTGACACAAAGTCCAGGGCGATACAACACAGGGCCAGAGCCTCTAAGCTATAAAAAAATAATAATTTAGGTGCTAACGCCATTGTTTGCTATCAATTTTGATGCACATTGTTAATAGCAACCCTTTTTAGATTTGTTTTGATTGAATTCTGAGTCAGAACTGCTAATTCCCTTTAAAGGTATTCAGTTCCATTATTCAGGTCCCACTGTACGCAATTGTACAGTCTATGTTTGTGTTTCTGCCTTTATAAATCTTCTATGTGTTCTGTCCTTCAACCACCACTTCTGGACACAATTCCTAAGGAAGCCATACACTAATGCAGATTGTTTAACAAGCGAAAAGCACAGGAACAAACGGTGCCTCACAAGAACAATCTTTTAAAAGTTCACGCACAGAGACAAACTCATAACAATAATCCTTACATTTGATGTAACGCCTTATCACGTTTTCGAGACATTCCAAAGCCCTACACAGAATATACTACAAAGTGAATTGTCTTTTGTGGGCAAAATGCAGCAACCAATTGTGTACAGCAATCCCACCAACAGTGGTGGATTGAGTTACCATAATTTTTTTTTGGTGGTGGGGGGGGGATTAATAGCTCCAGAAAAGCGATCCGCCAATCGACTAACAATTGGGTTCTTTCTTACTGCTAGGTAAACAGGGGCGTGGAATAAGGAAACTTGCCTAAGGTTTTGCCCAGCCCAGAAATCAAACCCAGGTCCTCCTGCTTGCGAGGCAAGTGCTCTAACCACTAAGCTATAGGACTCTATGTTTGCAGAGTGGTGACGGACTGTGCACATAGAGAACCAGGTTTCCACGTAGATGAGCAAGCTCCCGTCAGCTCTGTGAAGCGCTTTGACACATACTCCCGACGTGGAAAGAGCTCCAGGAATGTAAATTGCGGTCGTAAGTATTTGCATGTAGATTACCTGGTTTGCACACAGATTACCAAGCACTATAACACATATTAATAAAATTAGGCACAAGATCAAGGAAAACAGCAGGAGTCTGGATAGTCTACTTATCAAAATTAAGAACAGGATTTAGACTGAAATTAAAGTTTTACAAGAAAAGAAACTCAGTAAATATTATGCTAGTCTTGAACTGCACACGGTTCCTTCCTGGTTGGGAATGCTACAGATTTTGAAGTAGTCGGTGTAACAGACCTTTGATAATGTGCGATTATGTTGAGGAAATCCCATTAACCGATGACATTGCCAAAGGTGCTATGTATAGCACCAGAAACAGAATTTCAGCCAACAGGGCTATAGTAATAATAGTAGTAATAATCCTTGCATTCGATACAGCACCTTATCATGTCGTTGAGATTTCTCAGATCAGCCATGATCTGACAGAACGGCTTGAGGGGCTGAATGGCCTACTCCTGTTCCTATATTCCTAAACTTCACAGAATATACTGTAAAGTGTAGTGACTGTGTATTTAGTGGGTGAAACACAGCTGCCAATTGCGCACAGCAGTGTCCCACAAACTGTCTTGGAGTGAGTGGCCAGATTGTTATTTTATTTTATTGAAGGGATTATTACCACCCAGCCAATCGACTAACAACCGGGTTCCTACTTACTGGGAGGTAAACAGAGGAAAAATACCTGACACCACATACTGATGTTGTTGGTACGTTACTGTTAATAGAGCAGGGCTTTCTGTTTGTAGTCATGAATTTCAGACCTAGCAAAATTCCCCTTTAAAGACCTCAGGGAGTGAATAACCCTGGATAGTCAACCTGTGTTAACTCAAGTGCTGCACTCGAAACTCAATCTCTCGATGCTGTAATCATGCAATTTCTTTCCAGAATGATTTTTCCCTACCTATTATGAGCAGGCTACAAGTTGCACTGCTATTTGCAGGGAATATTTCACCTTCTCTTCAAGCTTCACGCACTTTCACTGTGCACTCAAAATCCATTTTACTGCAAACCTACTTAAAGGTCTCCATATTTAAGATCTTTAACCTTTAAGGTCCGCAGTTTCAGAAAAGTTAGCAGAGCACCTTTTAAAGCCATGGAGTCCTGTAGAATATTGGTTAGAGCGCTCGCCTCACAAGCAAAAGGACCTGGGTGAAACCTTAGGCAAGTTCCTTACTCCACACACCTCTGTTTCCCTAGGAGTAAGTAGGAACCCGGTTGTTAATCGATTGGCGGATCAGTTTTCTGGGGGTAATAATCTCTTCAAAATAAATAAAGTATATTCTGTGAAGTGCTTTGAGACGTCTCAAAGATGTGATAAAGTGCTATATGCAATGAGTATTATTATTAAATGCAATATCTTACAAAATTCACTTGAAATTTCAGAATCTACAGAGACTTAAGCACAGGCCAATTCCACTGGGGGGGAAAAAAAATCATCATTGAGTACTCCCGTGGATTTTTGATTAACCTGTGAAATACATCAACAGATCTATTGCATGTAAATCATGCACTGAACTCCCTTCCCTTAGCCATCTATCACCACAGAGAACTTGTGCATATCTCAAAACTCGATGTTCTCCATTAAAAAAAAGATGAATATTTGCCAACACTTGGCATCAGAGCCTCTGTACTGGACGGACATCATTTCAATAACCTACAAATTAATTAATTAATGAACAAAAAGCTGATTTCAATGAAAATCATCTGGAGATAAAGGCTTAGGATGCTTCCCGATAGATTAGGCGAGTGCCACTGTCATTTGTTACGGTGACAAACAGGATTAGCGAGGCCAGCAAGTCAAAGCATAACCAATGCTGATCTCATTTTTCTCAGTGGGCAACGGCAGTGATAGAGAAACCGTCTTCAGTAAAACCAGCTTATAAGCCAGAGTTTACACATAGGGTACAATGAATGGAATGTATTCCCCCCCGGATTCCCACCTTTCATACAGTAAAAGGCAGTAGGTTTATAGAAACGCATCTCACGAGCCTTGCTATAATTACGCCTCAAGAGCCCTGATATAATTACATATATTTTAAGCCACTGCCAGTTATTGCAACCCTTTAACCCCATATACAGTAGTTAATCAAGGCAGCACTGAAACCGCACAGTATATTATTAAAGAAAATAAGTAGTGTTTCCAAGAATTATAGCTCAGGCATTCACCATTTTAATTCCTTATTTTTCTTTTAGCATTACACCACTCTCTGCAGTCAAAATATTATGGCCTTATTTCAGACACTAAGATCCAGAGATGATTATTCGCTTTACATTCTTAATCCGTGTACCAAAACTGCGTGCAACTATATGAATCCAGTTGGAGGGGTCAACTCCAAACTCCATTAACAAAAGAAAGGTGTAATATATACTTGCAGCCTCCAACACAGAGTTAGCCTCTTAGTTGTTTGCACAATACCTTGAATTAATATCTGTTAGAAATGGAATCCAACAAAAAAACAGAAGATTTTTAGAGAACATAAATCACTGCCCTTAAAGTCCAGTGATTAGGAGGATCTTCCAAGCTCTCCCTTAACCACTGACAAATTCTAACACTTAATTCTAAGGAAACCCTTAGCTACTTGTAGCATCTATTCTAACACATGTAACAACAGAGCCTGCAGACTGTATGCAGCCTATTAGAAAATGCTTATTCCCCGAACCCTACAACATCCTACTTAATTGTAATTTTGGTTTCTCAAATTAATATTCTCTCTTCGCAAACCGTAGTATTTGGCTTAATCTTAAAGTCATGAAGCAACATGCGAGCCTATTAATATCCGACTGCATTAACAGTTTTGCTTACTACTACTTATGTATGGTTAACCGACAGGAGCACAAGGCAGAAAATAATGTATTCTGGCATCCATGGTGCTCTGGTAAAAGCCAACCCTATTCAGACGTGCAAAGATGAACGTTACATTTTTCTCATTCTGAGCAAGTGTAGTCATATCACATTATGACCGTATTGAATGTGGAGCCAGTCGACGAGTATGTTTCAGTCCACACTGGGTTATTGCTTAATAATGTACTCAGATTAAGATGTTCCCATATATGCCACATTAAAGTGCTTTGACTTCACCGACAGCGGCCGCGAGTCCTGCGTTTGGAAGCAAGATAGGCATTTAATAGCAGCCCGCCCCCCTCATCACACAAGAACAGAACAGAACATTGAAGTCAAAAGTGCAATAAGAACCACCACTTACGTCGTCTCATCGTTTTTGAACTCCAGTTCTCCGTAGGTATCTTCGAAGTCCTCGCCACCTCCCTTGGCCGTCCCTTCCAATGTCCTAAAGGGCACAATGACTGTCCCACGTGCACCAGATGTTCTCAACACCTTCACCTCCATCACACCAATGCTTTCGCTCACACGGACTAAGTCAGCCTCAAACGTAAAGATACCCGCGTGGTCGTCATCGAGAATAGTGACCGTGGCGACCGATGGGGAAACCAGTGAAGCTTTTGGATAGGGAACATTATTTGGTTCCAGGGAGTCTTCCAGTTCGATCACGCGAATGTTATTAAGTCGCACAAAGAAATGCTCGTCTTCCTCGAAGATATCGTCGTCGATGATGCCTACGGACATCTCTTTCTGTGTTTCGCCCGCCTTGAAGACTACCGTCCCCTCGCTAAACTCATAGTCAGCGCCTGCGTTGGCGGAGCCGTCCTCTGTCTTGTAGTCCACCACTACCGTTTGGCTTATGTCTCCTCCTCGGCGAACCACAGTCAGCAGCACAGCCCCACAATTCTCCAGGCACTGGTAAATGCAGGGTTCAAAGTAGACTCGGGAGCAGAGGTCATCGGGGTTTCCAGTCTGATCTCGTGCATGCTGGTGCTCTTCTTAGCCTGTTCAGCTGCGTGTTTCTTCAAGATGTTCCCTGCGCCGGTCATCATCCTCGTGGCCTGGATACGGTAGAAAGCCCTGCTCTTCTGCTGGTGGGAAAGGGCGTAATAGTTGGCCATCTCCACCAGCTGATCCAGATCTTTTTCAGGATGCTTCTGCTTGAGATCCTTCAGGATCCGAATCATATCCCTGCGGGACTCGTCCACTTCTTTCCCATCCAAAGCCGCCAGCACTGTGCCGTCAATGTAGTGGGAGTTCACCATTTTGCCGTCCATCTCCATGCCCTTGGGGTGGTCGCCCTCCATCTCAACCACGATGCCTCTGTTCTTGTTGGTGCGGTATTTCTTGTGCATGTACTTGTAGAAGAGAAGCCGCCGATCGGCCACCCAGGCGAGGCTCACACAAAGCGGGAAGAAGAACAGGGTGACCAGACCTTCCCACACCTGCACCACGCCTGGCGAGAAGACCGCGAGGATCATGTACAGCCAGATGTAGGCGAAAATGCTCCATGCCGCCGTGACGAAGAACACGCGCAGGTGTTTGATCTTCCTGGTTTCGCCGTCTGGGATAACATAAACACAGATGGCGATGATCACAAACATGTTGAAAGCGGCGCTGCCCACGATGGTACTGGGGCCGAGCTCGCCGGCTTCGAACCCGTGGCCACACACCTCGATGACAGACAGCAGGATCTCAGGCGCGGATGATCCCAGGGCCATAAGGGTCAGGTTGGACACAGTTTCGTTCCAGATCCGTACCGTCGTGGTGCTGGTCTCTCCATTGGGTTTCTTGATGGTCACCTCTTTCTCTTGCGACGTAATCACTTCGATGGATGCCATGAAGCGGTCGGCGATAATGGAGACGCCTAAAAACATGTAGATCATTGCCACGAAATACACAATCACCCTGGCGATTTTATCACCCAGCGATGGATTTTCCGGGTACCATATGGGCAGGATGACCCCTTCCTTGCACTCGTAGCTCCCCGTGCAGGTTTTATTTGGCTTCGGAGTTCTCGTGGGCTCAGTGGTGCCTGCGTCCACACGTAAGGGGTGCCACAAGAGCATGACTGCCACCAGGCCAAGGTGGAGGCAAAATGACATGAACGTCTGCAACCTAAACCACGCCATTCAAAACAGTTTCTCTGCTCAACTTCCTTCGCCGACGGAGCAAATCTTCAAAGCCAAGACGCCTCTACCGAAGGATCTGAAACATTGTTTTATCAAAGCAAAAATAAATCACATTTTAAGATAAGGCATTAGCCAAGCTACATTGTCGTAGTAATAATAATCCTTGCATTTGATATAGCGCCCTATCACCTCATTGAGACGCCTCAAAGCGTTTTACAGAATATATTATAAAGTGGATTGACTATATTTTGTGAGCAAAACACAGCAGCCAATTGCACACAGCAGCGTCTCACAAACAGTTGTGGATTGAGTGACCAATTTTGTTTTGAGAGACTATCCTTTTTTTAACGCAACAAGATTTAAAAATGCAAATAGGATTAAGGATACCGAGTTAAGACACTACATTGGAAAGCTATCAACAATCAACTGCAGTACATTATCGAGGGGGTGACAGGATGTGATGGGCTGCAGTGTCTTTGCATAATTTACATTTATGTATCATTTATACAGAGACAGGCTGTGTGGTGGGATGCAGACTGAATCACTCCACGCTGGGTGTATGTGTGTGAGGGAGGGAGTGGGGGAACTCATAGTTTGAATCACTCTGGGGGGTGGGGGGGAAGGAGAAGCACAGTGATTGAATCATGCCAGGATGCTTTAGGACATCTCTTCGGAGACATCGGAAGGCTAACAGAGACAGAGACATGGGAGCAGATCAACTGGGGCAGTGACGTGTGCTCAGAGCAGCTGAGGAGAGGAGCAAAGGAACTCAAAGGAGACAAAATAATGTGATTCTTGACTCGCAATCAAAATGAATAGAATATTTGCTACATACAACAGAAATATGCAGAATTTTGTCAACAAACGAAATGTTGATGACTGTTATGGAGAATAGAATTCAGCAATAATTTATTACTGAGGGGAATACTTCAAGGGTAGCACAATCCTTCAGTTTTTTTTCACACTCTACAGATTTAAAAGGATACTGTTGACTTGAGAAACAATTTGATTACCAAGTCCTCTGTATTTGTGGAGGGGAGATTTCTAAAATAATAGAATCCCATTTGATACAGCATCTTTCAGGTCAGGAGGACTCTCAAAGCGCTTCACAGGATATACTGTTAAGCATTATAACTATGTATTTTGTAGGCGAAACACAGCAGCTAATTTACACACAGCAATGTCCCACAAACAGCCATGGAGCGAGTAACCAATTTTATTTTAGGAGATTGTTGATCAGAACACCGAGAGAAACTCACTTCCTAATCGAGACCTCGGTATAAACAGCTCATCTGAAGGATGGCACCTCCAACAGTGCAGCGTACCCCCAGCACTGCATTGGAGCGTCAGCCTAGACTTGTGAATTCAAAGCCCCAACGTAGGGCTTGAACCTACAAGCTAAAGTTCTACCAACTGAGCCAGGCTGACACTATATTCATATTTCACCAGGTCAAAGCAATTTACATTCTTGTGCATTGTGTTTGTAACCAAGTTAAATGCAGCTTCACCCAAGCCTTGTCTTTCAGGTCTAAGAGATGATTGTTGAAGTTTTGGGGCTAACAGAGACATGACTTTCAGGACTACATTATTAATACAGAATAATAATGTATCGAGCAATAATAAATAATAACCCTTGCAATTTATATAGCACCTTTCATGTCAGGTGGACATTTCAAAGTGCTTGACTGGATTTATTGTAAGCTTAGTGACGAATGTTTGAATGAGAATTACAGCGCGCATTAAATAAATAAGCAGAGCTACTTTGACTGCGAGGAGCAACAATGTCACTGCTCTCTTCTGCAAAGAGGTGAGTGTCAGTTCCCCAAGGCAATTATTCGCCTCTCCTGGTGCCACTGTTTTACAATGGGAATTTTTGCATTGTAGGGAAATACACATTGCAAAGGCCAACCGACATCAAGTGTACACATAAATAATAATCCTTGCATTTGATGTAGCGCCTTATCACATTGCCCATCCTCATCTCCAATGCCAACTGTGAGGCGATACTGGACTGTCTTGAATCTAAAGTCAAGGGGATCCGCTCAGCTGCCTCTGCCCTTCCGTCTGCTACACCCTCCCCATCGCCTCTCACACCCTGGCCCCCATCCATCCCTCCCCCCACACCTTCGAACCTGTCTCCCACTCCTCTCTCAACATCACTATAACCCGCATGAAACCGACCACCTGCTCCCTCGACCCCATCCTACCCCTCTCCTTACCTCCCAACTCCACCTCCTTGGCCCTCTACTCACACTATAAACTTCTCCCTGTCCACTGGTACAGTTCACACCACTTTTAAAACGGCCATCATCACTTGTATCCTTAAAAAAAACCTCCCTGGACCCATTCCTGCTTTCAAACTACCACCTCATCTCCAACCTCCCTTTCCTCTCCAAGGGCCTGGAATGAGTTGTTACTTCCCAGCTTTGCTCCTTCCTCTCCTGCCACTCCCTTCACGAACCCCTCCAATTGGGTTTCCGTGCCGCCCACAGCACAGAAACAGCCTTGGTCAAAGTGACGAATGACATTCTGTCCATCTGCGACCAGGGCTCCCTCTACCTCCTCGTCCTGCTTGACCTCTCTACTGCCTTCGAAAGCGTCGACCACTCAATTCTCATCCACCGCCTTTCCTCTCATCTCAACCTTCACGGCCCTCCTTGACTGGTTCAGATCATACCTCTCACACCTTCTCCACTTCATCTCCACAAACGACTTCTCCTCTAGCCCCTGCACATCTCGTGTGGTGTTCCTCAGAGCTCTGTCCTTGGTCCCCTTCTCTTCAATATTTATATGCTCCGTCTTGGTGACATAATCCGCAGACATGGGATCAACTTCCACATGTATGCGGATGACACCCAACTGTACTTCTCTGCCTCCACCCTTGACTCCAGGACCACTGCTGTCTTGACAGAATGTCTGTTAGACATCAAATCCTGGATGAGAGCTAACTTTCTTCAGTTGAACGTCAACAGGACCGAGGCTCTCCTGATTGGCTCACATCAGCGCCTCCACACATCATGCGCTGACAGCATCACCATCCATGGACGCACACTCCACCTTACTAAGTCAGTCCAGAACCTTGGAGTACTGTTTGACCCTCAACTATCCTTTCTACCCCACATCCGTGCCCCAACCTCCACAAGATCGCCCGGCTCCGCCACTGTCTCACACCGCAGGTCCCTGAAACCCTCATGCACACTTTCACAACATCGAGGTTTGACTATGCAAACTCCATGCTTGTCGGCCTCCCCAACTCCTCCCTCCATAGGCTGCACATCATCGAGAACTCTGCAGCCCCTGTCCTCTCCTGCACCAGGCTCCCTGACCCTATCACCCCCATCCTCACACGACTCCACTGGCTTCCCATCACAGAGAATACAGTTCAAGATCCTAGTTCTCACCTTTAAAGTCCTGCATAGCCTTGCTCCCCCACCTTCAAAGCCCTCCATGGTCTTAACTCCCCACTACCTCTGTGACCTCCTACCATCCTGCCCGCTCCCTCCGTTCAGTGGGTTCTGGCTTGCTTCACGTCCCCTGCCTATCCGGTCCCACCATTGGCAGGCGGGCCTTCTGCCACTCTGCCGCCACCCTCTGGAAGTCCATCCCGCAGTCCCTCTGCCTCGCCCCCTCCCTTGCCTCCTTCGAGACCCATCTCAAGATCCTCCTCTTCGATCGTGCTTTTGCTCACCCTGTTTCACCCCTGCCCTCCACCCTCCCCAATCCTGACCCCCAGCTCGGGTCCAAAACACTGATTGTCCAGTGCCTTGGCACATCTTCTTGATGTGAAAGGCGCTATACAAATGTAATTTTGCTGTTGTTGTTGAGACATCTCAAAGCGCTTCACAGAAGTGAATTCACTGTATTTTGTTGTTGAAATGTGGCAGCCAATTGCACACAGCAGAGTCCCACAAAGAATTGTGGATTGAGTGACCAAATTATTATTTCTTTTTTTGGGAGAAATTATAGATTTGGGAGGAAATAGATCCACCAATCAACTAACAAATTCATTCCTACTTATTGCTACCTAAACAGAGGCGTGTGGAGTCAGGAACTTGCCATAACCAGAATTACAAGTAACCCTGTCAGAGACACTGAAACCAAATCAAATTTCAACAAGCCAACAAATGCCACCAGATCGTGTGTAACCGAAACACAAGAGTGTGTGAGGATACAACCTCAAGCACAAAGTTATGTCCGAAAAAAAATTCTAACACATCCAACACGAGACGGGAGTCCGTGGCGTCCACATTTTTTAAAAAAAAACGAGCAACTTTTGATTCCGAATTCTCAGTTTGGTTTGGATCCTCTAAACCTAAGCGCGGCGATGGGTTTCCGCACATGTTAAGACACCCGGCTGACCCCCCCCCCACCCCCACCCACTCCCCCCCCAAAAAAAAGACAGTTACAGAGATGAATTGTCACAGAATCTCAGTTTGACTTGGCTTGACAGTGGGCACAGTTATGGGGCAGCAGGAATCCTGCAGAGAGAGAGAGAGAGAGGAGGAGGTGAGGTAGGTGTGCATATGTGTGTTGGTGTGGGGGAGAGAAAGAGAGACAGAGGGGGAGGGTATTAGCTGTTTGCACCTGTAGTTTTGCCTGGAGCAGGGAATACTCGTTGGGAAAACCCTCAGCAGCCAAGAAGCCATGGATGTCCCTTCCTCCCTCCCTCACTGGAAGCTGCACAAGAAGCCTTTGCCCTATTTAGGGAAGGACCATGGCGCAGTCGCTAAATTTGACCGAGGTAAACAAGGGGGAGCTGAGCAGACATGAATGAACACAGCAGCTGGGGAGGATTAATCATAATGCAATAGGTTACATTAAGCGTTTCATCAGCATTCATCCTCTCCACAGCTCATACAACGGTGGGTGGGGGGGGGGGGGGGGAGAGGAGAAAGAGAGGGATGGAAGGAGAGAGGGATGGAAGGAGAGAAGGAGGGAGAGAAAGAAAGAGGAGGATGGAGGGAGGGAGGTGGATGGATGGAGGGAGGGAGGGGTCCCATATTGCATGCATTTGCAGAGTACAGTACAAATCATTTTTTGAATTATTCCCCCCCACCCCACCCACCCCACCCCCACCCCTACCCCTTGCAATTACAGTACATGATCGACACAAACGTGTGAGGAAAGCAGAGGGGAGAGGATTCTCGAGAGAAGCTGCTCAGCACTGGCTTTTTGGTCGTTTCCCTGAGAAAAACGAATTAAAGTGTTGTGAAGCTGTGTTGCACAGAGGCGGATCTTCACACACAATGATTCTTAAGCGAAGTCGCGGATCTGTACGTGAGATGGAGAGATAGAGAGAGAGAGAGGGGGGGGGGGGGGGGGGGGGTAGGTTAGATTATATAATAATTATTATTATAATAATAATAATAATGTGTGCTAGTCAATGCGTTAGGATCAAATAGAATTAACTGGTTGGAAAAAAAATGTTACCTTGCTAATTTCTTTCTCCAATAAAAAGGGACACAATCAGTAATGTTTATATATATATATATATATGCATATATACTCTCTCTCTCTCAATATATATATAACACCAAAAAGACACAATCAGAAATGGTTATATATATATATGCATATACTCTCTATATATATATATACTCTCTATATATNTGCATATACTCTCTCTATATATATGCATATACTCTCTATATATATATGCATATACTCTCTCTATATATATGCATATACTCTCTATCTATATATGCATATACTCTATATATATATATGCATATACTCTCTCTCTCTATATATGCATATACTCTCTCTATATATATATGCATATACTCTCTCTCTCTATATATATATGCATATTCTCTCTCTCTCTCTCTATATATATATATATATAACACCATAAAGACACAATCAGAAATCTCTTGGAGTGCTTTACACACACACACACACACACAGACACACACACACACATACATAATATAATATATATATAGTATATACCCATCCGTATCAACCATACACCAGACTGCACATTGTACAGCTTTCTCGTCGTCTCCCCGGGCACTGACCGGCAACGAACAGCGACCAGACTGGGAAATTGTGTGAGTGTGTGAGTGTGAGTGTGTGAGTGAGTGTGAGTGAGTGTGTGCATTGCTCGCCCACTTGCCTGGGTTTCTGCTATCAAAGCGGTGGCGATTTCTGCAGCTGTCGACAGAGATTTGCTGTGGTCGATGGCGCTGGAATTCCATTCAGATGCCCTGGACTCCCACCGTTGCTGGTTTTGCTTTGCTTTGCTTGTTCCTTGTTGGAGGGGAGTGTGTGTGTGTGTGTGTGTGGAGGGGGGGTGGGGTATGATGATGATGATGATGATGATGGTGGTGGTGAGGGTGATGGTTTGTGGTGTCAGTGGATCGTCCAAAAAAAGCACTGCGGTGGCAATGAATTAAGAAAACTGTCCGCCCACGTGTATTGGCTGCTGCTGGAGACTCGACTCAATCCCCCCCCTCACCCACCCCCACCACCACCACCATCACCCACCCACCCACCCACTGCCACCACCACACCACCCTCCTCGGCTCCCCAACTGGATGCTTTTGCTATTCGATCTGCATCAGCAAAGAGAGAACAGGACAGGGAGAGAGAGAGAGAGGAGAGTGTGTGTGTGTGTGAGAGAGAGAAGGGGAAGGGAGAGAGGAAAAATCTGCAGCTCTTTCAGTCAAATGCAACCAAAGTCTCTCTGTCTGTGTGTGTGGTGTGTGTGTGTGTGTCTCAGTCTCAGCCTCGCTGTTTGGCTTCTCCACGTCACCCTATCATCAACTGGGCTCAGTTGCAAGCCAACAAGCTCACTGTAACACAACACACAGGAAAGCCATCAGCAGTCAGTCAAGCCAAGCCAAGCCAAGTCAAGCCAAGTCAGTCAGACCACTGGCAAACTGCACCGTAGCTAAGACGTTGCATCTTCCGTGCATGGTAATTCGATGCGTAATTTGCATCACTGCATATTATGGAAGTGCCGACAAAAATAAATCAGTAAAATCGCGCGTGTTTAAGTCAGTCGGAACTGACAGTCGCACGAAACCGGGTGAGAATGTAGCCCATTCCCACCCTTCGAAAAATAGGAGCAAACAAAAAAAATACGTGGGGAATCGGGAGGGCATCACCCCACATTGCCTCTAACCCCCCACCCCACACCCACACCCTCTCTCTCTCATCAGTGCTTTCTTTGCCCGCATGCTTAACGTGGGATTCATTCACCACCCCCACCTCATCGCTCACTTCTTGCTTTTTTGCACGCAAGAATTGGCAGTGATTTATTTTGCAAATTTGTTTGCACTTGAAAATGTTTAGTCCTGGCAACGCCGAATTACTGTACTTGCACAGTATAACACAACCGGGAGGGTGGTGACGGTATGTGGATGGAGGACAGGAGGGGGGGGGGGGGGGGGGTGAGCTACACATTCCAGGTGAGAGGTAGAGTACTTTATTGAGCTAAGCATTCTTACATCAAATTCCAGGTTCCCCATATTTCCCCCACCCACCCCTTGTTCAGCCGGGTGTCTGACACATGCAAAAACCCATCACCATTGCTTAAGAGCTTCCAAACCAAACTGAGAATTCCGTGCATCCCCCTACACATGGAAATCCCAGAGATAGATTGCTGCAATGCAATGCCCACTCTCTCACTGGAGGGACAGATCCTGCCCAAACGTATTAGGCAGGTGGTTGGCAAGAGCCAAGCCTTGGGGAAGCCAGAGTTTGTGTTGGGGTAACTGCTGGAGTCTATCCAGCTAAAACTGTTAACAAGGATATCTGATGATTATACTAGAGTATACTAGTTGTACAGACTCGATTTAGGCTGTTAGGAGGGTGGGGGTGGGAGGTTGGAAAGAATATTACACCAGCATTCAAAAGAGCATTTATTCACTTGGAGATGTTCCCCAGTGAAATAAACAAGTGCTATGTGCGATGTGAAGTAATTTGGTTTGGGTTTGATCAATTACCCTTTAATTTAAAATAACTCCGAATGTAGTAACAATAATAATCCTTGCATTTGATATAGTGCCTTATCACATTATTGAGATGTCTCAAAGAGCTTTGTGGAATAGATTGTAAAGTGGATAGACTGTATTTTGTGGGTGAAACATATGAAACGTAGTGGGAAATGTTTTTTTTTTAAAAATCACACATAAAGCAAAGGTTTTTTTGCTTCCAAAAGACCTTACACAAGGATAGTGTACCATGGGTCAAAAAAATGCCAAGTGAAAGGCATTTCCCCACAGCCTTGCATGCCAAGCTCCAATATGTTGGAGCTCCAATAATATAACCTGGGGGGAAAAAATGCACATGTAACTTTTTCGATTAAGAGCACTATTCCCCCCGCCATCCAGCTCTACGTCATGGTCCACCAATGTTAAGTGCTCTGGGACTCTACCCTGCGTGAGGGGCCACTATATAAGTGCAAGTTGTTGTTGTTGGCCCTAACACTATGGCTGTAGCAATAACAGACATCACTGCCGCACCATGTACACTCCCAGATATTTGGCAGCTACAGCGTCTCGAATAGCAAAACTGCTTATTTCAAATCCCTATAACGCCTCTTTAGCTGCTACAATCTTCTTAGAGGGCTTAATGGACTTTTAAATTAAACAAGAACGATTAGCACTTAGTGCGCCATTTTTCGATGCGCCAAGTCTCAGACTGGTCAACAACAAGGCATTTACTTGGAATGAGACGCTAAATCGAGATCCCGTCTACCTGTAAAGGTGGATCTTACAGATCCCCTGGCACTATTTGAAAAGAGAAGGGAGTTTCTCTCTCTCCCTGTGGCCTGGCCAACAAATCCCTCAAATAAAATTGGTCACTCACTCCACTGGATGTTTGCGGGCCATTGCTCTGCGCAAACTGGTTACCGTACTTTGCCCGCAAAACACAGTCACTATTTTAATTTACAGTACATTCTGTGAAGTGCTTTGAGATGGCTCAACGATGTGATAAGCTACTGTATCAATTGCAAAGATTATTATTATTGTTATTATTATTAAACCCAGGCTCCTTCGACCTGTTCAGGTGGATGATAAAGATCCCAAGGCTACTGGGAAAAGAAAAGGGAGTTTCTCTCGCAGTTTCTTGGCCAACAATCCTCCAAATCAACTGATCCTTCACCTCCTGGTTATTTTGTGTGGTGGGGGGGCTGCTGTACACAAATTGGCTGCCACATTTGTTTCCTACAAATACATAGTGCCTAACAGCAATTACTTGTGAAAGGCTTTGAGCTGTATCAAACGCAAGGATAATTATTGTATTAACTGTGCAAAGCGAAACAGAACATTACATGGACGCTGACTACCAAACCAAAGCAATTAAGGGCTGAAATCGACAAGAACCAGCAACGTTTGGGATGAAGATTAACAGATATTGTACTCATTTGGAGTTTGGGGTCAGGAACCGCTAACCCTAGTATATATAAAGAGTTAACAGAAGGACTATTATTGTGTTGCCACTGGATGGGCAATTGAGTCAAGGTGAGAGTCATTTATCACTTATAGCTCATTTATTCGGAGGGTAGGATTGGGGTTCTGTCTTAAAATTGGACTAAATTTGATTCACGACAGTCTGGTGAGTAACACAAAAAGGTGGATCTATTTTAAAAAATCAGATTAAAATTGCTCATAGTGTCTGGAAACGAACTGGTGGTGAATGGAGGCTTCTATAAATTCAACACAGAACTGTGAGCGACTGATGGTGGTGGGGGGGGGGAAATACTTTGAATACTTTGAAACGTACGAGTTTATATCATAAATACAGACTTACCCTACAGCAGTGATTTTCTGCAATGGGATTTGACTGGTCTCACTTTGATTCCATCGAATCTGTGCTGCTAAACCCACTTCACCTCAATCACAGTCCTCGGTGCCCAGGGTCGAATTGCAAACCCCTTTCCCCTCTTGGATCTCGCCCCCTCACTCAAGACTTGAGCAAAACAAAGGGTGAAAGGAAGGACGGTGGGGAAATGGTGCTGTTTAATCGTGGAGCATCTCGCCTATGTTGCTTGCGTCGGTTTTGCAGCAGAACCAAGTCCTTCCCATTCGGGGCATTAAAATAAAAGCAGACACAAGAGCTGTGTTTGACTGGTCTGTCGTCCTGTATCCTGATCAAAAACATGGCAAGCCTTAAACTGTGAAGAGGGTCGGTTCAGTCACGGGGTGGGGGGGTCGGGGGGTGGTATTAAAGCATTAACTCCTATAGCTGTAGTTTAATTATATAAAACGTTATAACATATCAGATTATTATAGATGTTATATTACATAGAACTCTCCACACCAGTGGCAAAGTCCTACATGGTTCTGAATCGCAGCATTCACATTCTGATCATTAACACCTTTTGATGCTAATCTGATTCTCTGGAGCGATCTACAAATCAAACCCAAATAGTCAGAGACACACAATTCAGAATTGTAGGCTTTTGATTTCAAAGGGAGGCTGTACGGTGGCAAATATTACAAAATACTGGATATATATTGATTTTATGTCCAGAATGAATATTGCAGACCAAACAAACGCTGCACTCTATCTATCTGAGCAGGCAATTTCTTTGCAGCTATTTATTGTGCACAAAAATATTTTGGATTGATTTATACAAAGTTTATGATGGTGCTTTCTAGGCACTTTCTTCCTCGCTGTGTGTCAACTCACTTCTAATTAATTCGCTGAAAGCTCAGAGTTCTAGTGCAGGATGAGTCTGGAAACCACAACACACTCGATATGGAAGTAAGTGCCTCCAAGTACTGTTTGTTATACATGTGTATACTTACTTGCCTATAATATCGCTTCTGTGATTTGAGTTATTTTTTTCAATGATAGTGCTGGTGATCCACATGGCCCAAAGCAATTTTCGCATGCTCATTATACCCACAGTATAAGCTTAAACACATCTAACTTGTTTGATGAAAAGATTAATCCAAATAATACAAGTGAGGATAAATCTTCAGATCATACAACAAGCACATATATAGCCCTAAGAGAAAGTAAGACT